AGCCTGTTACTGCCACAGCAATGCATTATGTTGCTTTATACAAGCCTATATAAATTCTGCTGAATTTAGCATGCAGTGTGCAGTATGAATAGCCTCAGAACCAAAACTCTACATGCATGGTCTGAAATGAATATGCATCATTTGCATGCTGACTTCAGAGAGACGTTTGGACCACCTCACATGTGAGCCATAGAGCGGTTATCCATGCACAGAATGTCAGAAACAACCAGATTTTATGTTTGCAACTAAGGTGGCATTTTTCTTTAATCAGATGTAATTTAATGCATCTTGCATTTGCAATGTAAGGCCTAAAATATACAGAAAACCATGTGAAACCTAAATGCATCTAGCTATGCGACATTGATTTCGTGTTGCTGCATTCTGAAACATGTCAGACTGCAAGTCATAAAGCAACAATAGCATAACGTTGCATTCTCAGCTTTGTCGATATAGTGTGCATTAGCATGCATTTTAATCTGTTTTCTCTTTCAGTTCAACTACTGACATGGTGAAGCAACAGAAGAGAATCTTACTGAGCAAGTTAGTTAAAGTTAGTTAAATTGTTGACCTGTTTGAATCGCACACACATTTGAAGGAAACTCTATCGGCAACGCATTATTTTATGTTGCATCATACAAGCCTATATTGCAGAAGTTTGCTTTTCACCATATCTTCTACTGAATTTCGCACTTCGCTCTACTTGCAGTGCTGCTAACACAATCTGAAATAAATATGTGTTGCTTGCATGCTGCAGACACAAGATGTGTGAGAAAGACTTCAGAGAGACATTTGGACCACCTCACACATGAGTCTGTCAGAGTTTCAGCTTTTATGATCATGTCTGGTACGCTTCAGAGATTCAATGCCACCATAAATGTTGTCTGTTTACATATTCATCAGAAGTGCTTCTGTCCTTAAGTCTTCATTACTGTGGTGCGCGGGTGGTTCGTTTACCTCCTGTATTGGGGTCTCAATGCAAGTGCAACTCACAAACAGCTTGACATTACCATTGCAGCTGCTAAATGAGACTATAATTATATTTCATCCTTGTTTAGATCAGTTGTTGCAATGGTGTCAATATGCAGTGAGCACACTGTGTGCCAAAACTGACACATTTCAGAGTACAAGATGCTGAGTTTAGTAAACAACTGGTTGTATTCAGTCATTTTAATTTCTGCAATCTTCCCACAGTGGGTCTCTGAAGGTTTAAGGTCCAATAAAGAATGAGGAAACTCTCATTTTGTTGGGTTTCTCATCAATAGAAACATGATTTGCAGGAACTGAATGTAATCGAGTCTTTTTAGGATGAAATTGCTAAATATCACCACCTTGTTAATCAATGAAACAAATTAAGAGTTTCAAACTTTGCTGATGCACTATAATCAAAAAAGCCTGTGCTAAATTTAGAATGAAATACTAGTGTACTGCTTACCGTGCAAGTATGCTACATTGTCACACGACCTTATTATGTGTGCTTGTTTGATTCCATTTATTTCATTACAAATAGTTCAAATGCATTTCTGGCTTAAAAATGTCAGCAAATCTAAATTGTTAAAATATAACAAAGATCACAGTTTTAATGCAACTTCCAGTTCATTAATTATGTAAAGTGCTTTGCATTATGGGATACAGTTTCAATAGACTGCTGCATATGCACATAAAGACAAATATTGCAAGTTTTGCAGGTATAAAAATGTGCATACTATGCAAGGCATACTGTAGAAATAGTATAGCATACTAAGCCTCATTTTAACACACATTTCAAATCTGTTATTCTAAATGCATTGTCATGCTTCTTATAGCAGCTACACTCACACTGCTGAGATTCACAGGTTAAACTGACTGTCAACAGCTATTTTGCAGAGTAATCTTGAATATCTCAAGCAGGCACATCATAAACAAAAATGCATTTGCTCACTGATAATTGCAGTTTGCAAAACCATTAATGCTGCACAAATAAACACTTCTGCTGCAGGCCAGACAGCAGCAGCTGGAGTCTGTCACTTTCATTTTCCCGTCCCTTAACAATATTTTCTTGAACAGCACAGAATGGCTGTTGTGCTCGGTTCTCGCAGAGCTCTGCCGGGACAGCGGCGCAGGAGACAGCGCGGCCCTGACAGTGATTACCTAAGCGAGTAATCAATGTGGCCGTAATGAATGATCTCATTGTGTGCGCAAACGTGCTGGAGAAACAGAGGCGCTCTGTGCTGCCCCTCGCGGAAATCACTGCTGCTGATGGGAGTATTGAGTTGCACTGAAAAAGAAAAGCAATTTTGGCTGCCTCCTAAAGCTCTTTGATTAAACTAATAACAGTGGAGACTACAACACAGACGTCCTGTCAGAGAAGTGCTATGCGTGTGTCAAGCAGTCACAACAACAATGCACATGCATATACATATGGAAGCTCATTTATGCCATGGAATAAAATATTTTTGTTTCACAGTTTGAACTTTTGAAAAACTCTGAGTTTTTCGGAATTCTGGGTTTATAACTCGTAATTCTGACTTTTTAAGTTATAATTCAGAGTTTATATCTCACAATTCTGACATTTTATCTCACAGTTCTGAGTTTAAATCTCACAACTCTTTCTGACTTTTTTCTCTGAATTCTGAGTTTGCATCTCGTAATTTTGACTTTTTTCCACAGAATTCTAATTCTTGCAATTCTGTCATTTTTCTCCAGAACTCTGAGGTTACATCATGAAATTCTGACTTTTTTTTACTCTGAATTCAGGATTTCTCGCAATTGTGACATTTTAGCTTACAATTAAGAGTTTATATCTTGCAATTCTGACTTTTTTTCTCTGAATTCTGCTTTTACATCTCGCAATTTTGATGTTTATCTCCAGAATTATGGGTTTATATTTTGAAATTCTTACTTTTTTCTTAGATTTCTGAGTTTAGATCTCGTAATTCTGATGTTTTTCGCAGTTCTGGGTTTATAACTTGCAATTCTGACTTTTTAAGTTACAATTCAGAGTTTATATCTCACAATTCTGACATTTTATCTCACAGTTCTAAGTTTCTATCTCACAATTCTGACTTTTTTCTGTGAATTCTGAGTTTGCATCTCGTAATTTTGACTTTTTTTCCTCAGAATTCTAAGTTTACATCTCGCAATTCTGTCATTTTTCTCCAGAACTCTGAGGTTACATCATGAAATTCGGACTTTTTTTTTTACTCAGATTTGAGGATTTATTTCTCGCAATTCTGACATTTTAGCTTACAATTTAGAGTTTATATCTTGCAATTCTGACTTTTTTTCTCTGAATTCTGAGTTTACATCTCGCAATGGTGATGTTTTGTCTCCAGAATTCTGGGTTTATATTTTGAAATTCTGACTTTTTTTCTTGGAATTCTAAGTTTACATCTTGCACTTCTGTCTTATTCTCCAGAATTCTAAGTTTATATCTTGGAATACTGATTTTTTTCCCTCAGAATTCTGAGTTTACATCTCGCAAGTCTGACTTTTTTCTCTAAAAAAGCTTACATCTCACAATTTTTTTATTCCGAGGTAGAAACAAGTTTCCATATATACAAACACGTCACATAAGAGTGAGTTGCGAGACCCGCAGCTGCTTTCCAGTCTGTGCTTTGATTTGAGACTGAGGAATGCCCACTATCAAGGGTCTAATTACTCAGGTTTAAAGGGTCAGAAGGGTCAACTGAATCCATGCGTGTTTTAGGAAGATTTAGGACGGTTTGAGTGTGTGACCTGAACAAATCCTTGAGTTTCCATAAGAGAACAAAACAAGGCAGAACTCTTCTTGTTCTAGTTAGGACAGAATGTTGACTGTTGCACAGCCCTGATTATGTTTCAGCTGCCAAATTAATGAATCCTGTCATACTCTGGGTAAATTTGTGTACTGCGACCCCTGGATAAGGACTTAAGTGAAATAAGGACAAGTGAAAGTATGGTCAGAGCTGGTGGGCATGTGAATATTACGTAAGAATCTACAGCCATTTGACAGTTGAACATGTCCAGAGGGGAAGTGGATAATCAGTAAACTCAGATTAATACAACAGTTTGTGTCATTATAATGGATGCAACGCTGGCTGCATCCCGAAACCCGGTGAGCTGCAAACCTGGCATCTTCATGCAATATGAGCAGCACTTCAAAGCATTTGATGCCCCAAAACACTTTACAAATTTGAAGCCCTCCTATGCTGTGCATGCCCAAAAACTCTGTCTTATGTTTGGAGAGCAGCTATGATGGACAAAAAAAGCTACTATGCTTCTATGGTGGCCAAAAATTAAGGCAAGACAGTTTTTTCATGCACTGGTCAATTTTGAGATATTGGGCTATTTGTCTTTTCGTAATATGTTTCAGACTAGAGGAATATATATAGACCCAAAATGCACTCTTAAGTGTTTATTTTAATGCATTTATCTATTCATGTCTGTAGATTTCAATTACAATACAAATCTTTAAAAGTTTTTTTCTCCACTTCAGCAGCACTTACATACACTAAAATATAGGGTTTTATTCCTGTTTATATCCTGAAGGTTTTTACTGTGGGTTTGTTCATATTTCATTTGACCTGGTTTATGTAACATTTTACTTCTAAAAACATGGTAAAGATATATTTATCCTGGCTATTGACTATTTATGGGGTGATAAAAGGGAAATACAAAATCCCCTCTGTAAAAAACCTTGAGCCCTAATATGTCAACAGAATAAAACAAAAATTTTGAACCAGGCTTAAAATGTTAAGATTTGCTAATTAGATATGCAAATTAGTGCATATTTAATTTAAATGTTGCATGATTTGTGTATTTAAACATAACATTTCAACTGGGGCAGTATGGTGGGTGATTGATTGATTGATTGATTCTATTCACTTGGTGCACATCTATTTATGCACTAAATGCACTCTAGGTTTGCATTTCACCGATTGTTGAGAATGCACCATTTTTTGACAAAGCTGCACACACTTATGATGGCCAAGGTTGACATCTCACTGGGTTTTGAGACACAGCCAGTGTGAGCTGTTACTCACCAGTCCATCACAGTTACTGATGGCCACTGAGGCCCTCGGCATGTCCTTTACATCCCCGGTAAACATGCAGTCTCCCAGCATCCGCTCTTTGGCCTGTTCCTCAAAATCCTCCTGCCACTGAACAAAAGCTCCAGGGGCCACGAGTCTCCTGTTGGCCCTCAAGCGCAAGTGCAGCTCTTTTCCAAACACAGTGACGTTGAAAAACAGCTGTTGCCCATTCAGGGCCGTGGTGTGAGGCGTAACGGGGGCGTCGCGAGGGACCCGTTTCCGGCCGGTTGGTGATGCTCTCGCGGAAAGCACGTGAGAAACGAACCGGCCGCGAGCGTCAGTGCTGAACGGGACAATCAGACCGAATTCAATATATATACTGTATATATATACATAAATATATAAGCTATATAAGGCCATATGTATATAATGCAATATGCAATATATATAATGCAATATGCATGCACAATAATTATTACTTTTTATAATATTTATGTATTAAAGTATGAATATTAAAACTTATGAAGTTAACTGTTCATAGACATATGAATGGACATGCATGCAAAAATTCGCATTCACTCAGTAGCCTATTTGCAGCAGAAACAATTTTGGCGACTTGATCTCGAGTTAATTCTATTGGAGTGTTTTTAACCCGTTCTTTCTTGCTAAAAGTTCGTGAAGTATTTACTGTTCACACTAAAAACAAAGATAAACTCATACAAACCAGCTTCTCTTACCATGAGATTTTGCAGCATGTCTATAGTCCATAAATAAGAGGTTTATCGTACAGTACATGAATAGATAAATATAATCCATAGCTGTGGCGGTGAGAGCCAATGCACGAGACTTTTCTTCTGGAAGTACACTGGAAACTTTCCTCCTGGACGCGGTTCATGAGGAACGGTGTGTTGCAGAAAGTTGCGCGGAACTGCGGAGCATTGCGAGCGTCTCTCAAACTCCAGACTGACGGACACCGAGAGTTTCTGCAGAGTTCTGATGGACTGAAGTGGACTGGACTCAGATGGGACAACCCATCACTGAGAGCTCATGACGACAGCTCGAGCAGAGGGAAGGAAGAGGAGACCGCCTGAAGCTCCACACGTGGAAAAATGGGTCATAAATGGTTAAACGTGCTTTTAATCAGAGGGAATGCAATGGTTAAAAGAAGTTCAATGCATTGGAAAGTCTCTGTGGCGCTTTTGTTAGACACGTTCACGCATTTATACTTTAAAAACACACTGGTGGAAAAAAAGGCTAAATTTGAAAAAGTCATTTAAAGGGATAGTTCAACTAAAAACGAAAATTCTGTCATCATTTATGCACCCTTAGTTTCCATAAAAGCAGTCGTCAAAACAGTCCATATGACTTATGCACTGCGTTCCACGTCACAGATTTTGAAATGCAATATTTGTATGTAGGCCTATGTAGCCTATATATATAT